CCGAACTTGGCGCGCTTACGGATGATTGTTGCTACGTCGTGCAAATATTACGAAAAACTCGATGACTGTCGCCTTCACCTGAACTTATATGAATATTGTTAATCAATCATTGATTGAAAAGTTCAAGAGCGTAAAAATAAAATCGAACTTGCACCCGAAACGCTGTGTTTAAAATACTAAACGCTAGATATTTCTGAGAGCGAAGTTAAACACGCTTAACTCAAGGATTACCCTCCCGGAAGTTGGAAACCAAGAGTACATAGCTTTATAGACAAGCATGATTGCAAACAGATTTCTGTTTTCATTCGATATTTATTTTTATAGTTTTGATGTCATACGTGCAGGTTTTTTACACCACCAATATATAAGTAAATATATTCATTGTAATTAATAATAATATCGTCTTTATTGGATCTTCCTCCATGTCCAGCCAGCGTTAGGCGGATAAGATAACGCAAAGCTACTGTGATTAAATATTTCCTCGACAATGACTGCAACAATAATTAACTTATTTGCGTTATCGAAAATTTTCGCAGGAAACAGGGAGTTTTTCGATACAATTAAATGGCGAGCGATTTCTAGCTATTGTTTAGGAAGATGAAAATCTGAAATTGTTCTAGAACAGTAAATAATTTTTACAATCAGCGTGTTTAGCGTGAAGGTAAAACTAAATATTGAATATAATTCCTAATTTATTGAACAAACTTATTCACTGTTAGTTGTGTTTAAATAATGTCCGATTGAATCTGAAAGAATAAAAATTGTCCGCGGATATGCTTTTGTTACTGCGCTCTATTTTGTTTGCAAAAAAGTATCGTCGGCTCAGTCGATATCAATACGTTGATTCGAGTGGCATCGCATGAGTGGCATCACATGAGTGGCGTCGCATGAGTGGCACCGCATGAGAGGCATCGCATGAGAGGCATCGCATGAGTGGCATCGCATGAGTGGCATCGCATGAGTGGCATCGCATGAGTGGCATCGCATGAGTGGCATCGCATGAGTGGCATCGCATGAGTGGCATCGCATGAGTGGCATCGCATGAGTGGCATCGCATGAGT